CTGGTCCTGGTATCTCCTCAACGTATCACTGTTGTCCACATTTGCTGGACAAAACCTGCACAGTTTTCCAGCAACGTTTGGATTTGACTTTCTAGGGGAAGAACAACTTGGGATACCAGCAGTGGTCAGGAGATAGCTGGCTCTGGAGTATTTCTTAGCAGCCAGTCATTGACATCTCAGCTCTTGCAAAGTTAGTAGAGAATTATCAGACTATGGGATGTAATTAACCCTCAATAAATAAAAGAAAACCATTTCTGGGCTAAACTGTGTGTTCCATCCTGTGGTCAAATCTGTAGTTCCCTTTTTCAGTGCATGCTTGTGTAACTTATCAGCTGCCATCATCTGTGAAGTACCCATCACATTTGTGCTTGAAAGGCAGCAGTTATAAAAGAAACCCACAGCGAGATGACCCAGAGGAGGCTTGAACAAACAGAGCAGACTCTTCACAGAACTTTGGAGACTCCGCAGGTAACCTCCTGGGATATCTGTTGTGGTTTGGTTTTGTCTTGTTGTGTTTTGTTTGAGAACTGTGAAGGTCCCAATTTTCTAAGTGCCTTGCACTGGGAAATACATCTGGAATCTGCTTTGGGAGAGAGTGGGACATGTCAGCTATAATTATTACCTTTTGGAGGCTGTTTGCTATGGTCTGGAGCTCTACTGTCCTTTAAGAAGTATACATTATACAAAGGGAATATATCCTTTACCTTCTGCTTACTACTTTTATCATATATACTCAAAACAAAATATAATCAAGCCTTTTATTTGTCCTGAGAACTTCCTATATCCATTTCTCTGAGGAGCATAACACTCTTGGAGCTGCCAAGTTAACATCTTTCCTTGAGTACCCTTATTTTGATTCTCTTTTCAGTAGTTTCTCCCATGAAACACGCAGGTTTCACAGACCACAGAGTGTTCTTATAGATTGTGGTCTCATGCTATGGAGATGCCTCTCCTCAAAGATGTCTTTTCAGTCTTGGTCTGATATAGCAAGAAAAAGAAAAATAACATTTTTGAAAAGGAAGCAGGAAAAGATAAACTGAAAAGAAGAACAAGGATAATAAGTGAAAAGTAACCTGCACTGCAGTGACATTTTCTTATCCAGTTTCAAAGTGGTAAAGTGCTGCTCAGAAAATGTTAGATCTGTGTCTAACACGTGGGCATGATTTAGACAGCAAAAGGTGCCTTTGAAATGTTATCTTTAGGATCTTTTCAGGAGTATAGGGAAAAGAATGTGCCCAGGAAGACTCAGAATCCTTACTTTTTGAGGACAATGTAAAACTAAAAATAATCTATAGGTAGCCAAAACCTATAAAAAAACAAAAAGAGCCAAATTTTTCAGTTGTGCTGAATGCCAGAGCAGTCCTGAAAGCAGCATACTGACTTTAGTTAATGGGTGTGGACCCTAAGCAGCTGTAAAACGTGAGGCTTTTTGAATAGAGAGGTTATTAGTGTATTTAATCATCTCCTCAGGTCAATGAAATGATGTTTTCTGAAGCAGGAAAGAAAGCCTGGTGTTTGTAATTTGTAGAAAAGCATATTAAAAACGTGCAGGGCGGTCAAGGGAGAAAATCCAAAAGAAGAGACTTCTAGTGTAATAGGGACTAGTCTTGGAGGAGTTGTGTAGGCATAAATGTATGGTGTGAATCACAATTACCTGAGTGTTTGTGATTCACGTGCACTTTAGAACCAAATGTCTGCCCAAAATGTCTTTCAGTTCCCCAAGCTACCTAAAATCAAACCTCGACTCCCCGGGAGCCATCCCTCAGCACGCTCCAGAGGTTCAGTGGCCTCATGTGGCTTTTGGCTAGCAGAAGAGCAGAGCCACACCAAACCTGAACACAGATAATGAGTGGGCTTGGACATTAGGAAACAAACACTGTCTTGTAGGTCACTTTAATGAGCTCAGCATTGGGAGAAAGAGCCACTGCACAGCAGAAGTACTCCAGCTGTGATCCATTGGAGTGCTTCCCGTCCCTGGGTTATTTATTGGAGGTTCAGGGAGAACTGATGGGTTAAAGATGCTTTCTCTGCTCATTACCATCTGAAAATATTATGTTTTCCATACCAGCAATTGCTGTAGTGCCCCAGGGAAGCAGCACGATTGGGCTGGGAGAGTGTATTTCTCTTCAGCAAGAACATTTTGGAAAGCTTCTGTTCTGTATTTCCATGTTGTTTATATTAGGTTACACATGAATGATTACACACAGATTATTTTTTCCTCCCAGTAGTTCATGAAACAATCTATAGGAAGCAGAAGGTCATGCTGGTTTTAAGCATTAAAAATAGTCGTTCATTTAAATTAGAAACAAACAAAATAGTCTCTTTTACACCCAATAATTAACACTGGAGAATTAGCCTTGAGGTGAGCACTGAGACTGCTTCTTTCTCGAGCTTTATTGAAATAGAAACCAGAAAGTAATTTCCTCTAAGTAACCATTTTATAGATAGTGGCAGCTAAAATGATGGCTGTTTCTGTTGTTGGAGTACATGGCACTCTGCTGACAGCCAATATGCCTGAACCCAGCTCACTCCTCCCCGTGGAGACACACTGAATTCTGCTCTGAACAGCCACCTGTGACAGTGCTTGAAACCAGGAGCTTATTTCAACAAGGGCTCCCAAAAATCAACGGGAGCAAACTGAAATGTGGTTGGTGGTACTTCATCTCTTCACTATAAGATGCATTTTCCTGCAAAGTAAGGAGAAGAGCTGATCCTGTGCAAGGCAGCAGTTTCATTCCTTTGCCCACGTGGCTGTACCTTGCTGCATGGTTTGTGTGTTTAACTCTTGGGGTTGTTCATTCTCAGCCAGATGGTGCCAAGGCACACGTGCTGATCTGTGGCTGCTCTCAGAGGGTATGGCCAGCACGGGGAGAGCTCTTCTGATCCTCTGCTGGACAACACACTTGCTTCAGCCACACACACCTCGAGCTGCAGGAGGTAAGGCACTCCCTCTCCTCCACTGCTGTGTGGTGTTAGCACCAGTGGCTGACCCAGGTCCCTCTTTGTGTTGGTCCAATGCACTGTTCTACACATGAAAAAAACAGTCCCTGGCATCCCACGAGTACCAGAGCACAGATGACCAACCCCTCTGCTCGGAGGCCAGGCTGAGAGAGGGGGTTGCTCAGCTTGGAGAAGGCTCCAGGGAGACCTTTTGGTGGCCTTGCAGTACTTAAAGGACTCCCATAAGAAAGCTGGGGACAAGCTTTTGAGCAGGGCTTGTTGTGACAGGACAAGGGGTGATGGGTTTAAACTAAAAGAGGGAGATTTAGACTAGAGAGAAGGAAGAAATGAGCTGCACTGAGGGTGGTGAGCCCCTGGCCCAGGCTGCCCAGAGAGGTGGTCACTGCCCCATCCCTGGAACCATCCCAGGGGAGGTTGGCTGTTGCTCTGAGCACCCTGCTCTAGCTGGGGATGTCCCTGCTCCCTGCAGGGGGTTGGTCTGGATGAGCTTTAAAGGTCCCTTCCAACCCAACCCAGTCAATGATTCTGTAATTCTCTGGTTCCTGGGACAGTTCCTGTCTCAGATTACTCCCAGCCAATACCTGAGGACTCTTTTGCTTTGAGAGGGAAGAACTATAGGGCATGTAGACACAACTTGAGCCACACCACTTGCCCGCTGAGCTGGACAGCAATTGCTGGTTTAATCCAGCCAGAGCAAAGGCATTATTCCAGATAGCAATTTACATCTAGGGCAAACCTGCAATTAGCTGCAGAATCCTAGTGTATCACCAACCCTAATGGTGACGTTGTTTGTGGGCATCTCAACACCTTCAGGGAAGCAGAGTGGTTCAGGGTTGGGGTTTGTGTTGGTCTGTAAGGTTCAGGGTGGTTTGTGTCAGGGTTTTCTGAGCCTTCATGGGTCAGTTTTCCTAATGCAAGGTGCATGCTTGAAAATTGAACTCGTGAGCATCAAAGGTTGAAGTCATGGGAGAAGAAAAGTGGGGACTGGTGTCCCTCTGCCCCTCTGCTGTCTTGGAGATATTCATAAAGGGATGACAGGCTTTGAAGAACTCTAGAAATGGACTGGAGTAGATTGATTATTTCATTGCCTTGCTATTTATATCCTAACATTTCCCCCAGCATGAGATCTTCCCAATTTCCATACGAGCTCCAGGAATCCCTCGTGCCCTGTCGTTTTAAATTATCATTCCCATCCTTCTATGTTTTCTTCCATTTGTGCTTAATTCCTCTGTTCATCATGTTGTTCCTTCTCTCACATATAACTTCTTGTGGCTGTCAGCCTTCTCTTCCAAACCCTCCACGTTACACTCTTTGTAAGCTTATGTGGGTGAGAATCAGCCCCATTTCAGTGCAGATGTACCTGTAAGGTTCTAGTTGGAACAAATGAACCTAAGTAACAAGCCCAATGTCATTCATTGTGATTTTCAAGTTGAAACTGATGTAAAAAAATTCATATTTTAAGTAAACTCTTATTTTATGAAGTTTTTATTTAAAGATTTTTTTTTTTTTAAATATCAGAAAAGTTTGTAAGAAGCTGTTGGGAGAATATAGAATCATAGAATTGATTTTGTTGGAAAAGACCTTTAAGGACATTGAGTGCAGTCCTTAACCCAGCACTGCCAAGTCCACCTCTAACCCATGTCCCTCACACCACATCTCCATGCCCTGGAAACCCCTCCAGGGGTGGGGACTCCACCACTGCCCTGGGCAGCCTGGCACAGCCCTGGGCAACCCTTTCAGGGAAGAAATTTTTCCCAATATCCAACCTAAACTTCCCTGGCACAACTTGAGGCTGTTTCCTCTTGTCCTGTCCCTTGTTCCTTGGGAGCAGAGCCTGACCCCCACCTGGCTCCAGCCTCCTGTCACAGAGCTGTGGACAGTGAGGTCTCCCTGAGCCTCCTCTGCTCCAGGCTAAACACCTCCACTTAATATTGAAATGAAATTATTTGCTTGTATTGCTCATTGCCTGCAAACAGCTGTTGCTCTAAACAATTCCCTGGATTAGGGGGTTGTGAATAACTGTCTTTTCTCCCTCACAGTTCAGGTTTTCCCTCCTGTCAACTTCACCCTTACAGTCCCTGCATTAGCACAAGTGCTGTTACACTGGCAACCACCCCCTCAGCAAGAACAAAAAAACTACACTGTTAGATACGAGGTGAAAATCCTGAGCCCTGTGCCTGAAGAGGTAAGACAAAAGTCCAGGATCTTAGGAAGGTTAAATTCCTGTGGATTTAAACGTGTTGCAGGGTGCAGTAGGTGTGATACAGCTCTTGAACAACTGACATATGGAGTCATTTATTCTCTTGTATCATAATCAAATCCTTTGTGCACCAGAGGGGTTCCCTTTCAGCTGGGACAAGGGTTAGCCTGGGAACTGGCAGTCTCTGCAGCATTCATCCCGGGGGGGAAGCTGGAGACTGGTTTTAGGTGATGCTGCTCCCCATTCAAGTCACAATTCCCATTAATACCAGGGCACCATTAAAATATCAGACCACGTTCTACCACAGCTGTATGCCACAGAGAAATTTTTGGTAAGATAAGGGTCCTGCTGTCTGAAATGAGAACCTTTGTGTGTAAATGTGTGCTCCCTACCTTTATACACTTACTGCCACCAGCTAAGCTAGCTGCCTGGCTCACCTCTGTGCCAAGACTCAACCAGGCTTTGCAGGCCCTTTAATTTGGCTTCCATCACACACGATGCTTACTTCATTCTTTATTTTGTTTTTAATTTCAAGTATGACACCAAGAGGACTCAGAGCACCCGAACTGCTGCGCTGCACGACGGCTTCTCAGCGTGCATTCGGACCTTGCTTCTCCACAGTCACCTCCAGGTGAGCAGTGACTGGGTGAAGCAAGAGCTCCCACCTCTGCCAGGTAAGAAGAAAGGCAGGGGAGGTCTGAATTTTGTGTTCTGTGGACTAGACAGCAAAAGGTGACAGGTTAAATACTTGAAAATTACAGCGTTTTCCCCTCTGCCTGCTACATTAATCTTACAATAGGATTCAGTCCAGGCCTTTCTCTACTGCTCTGCAGCCTGGAGTACAAACTGCAGGTGCAGAACATGGATAACCCATATAAAATTTGCTAAAAATCCTTTTCTAAGTCTAACATAACCTACTTTCAGACACTCCAGGCTGTTAAAAGCTCGTGCTGCCTTGGTGTACATGAAATCTGTAATGGTCCTCTGTACATCTGTAACGTCATCCATAACTGTGTGGCAAGGAGGAGAACTGGCTACAACACACATAGATCTAATGGACCAAAGGCTGTAATCAATGTGGATTTTATTAGGACTTCTGTAATATGATTTTTCTTTCTGCTTTATGATTCCTTGGCTCTCTAGGTGCTCCAGAGACGTCTGTCACTAATCTGTCCTGTGTTACTCGCCTCAGCATTTCTAGCACTGTTTCTCTCCATTGCACTTGGCTTCCTGGCCAAAGGGCACCAGAAGACACCAAGTACTTTCTATTTTACAGGTTGGTGTTTCCTCCTCTTTCAGTCAGCTGTGAATTTCTTTAAGGGTATCATGTCTCACAAGTATTTTAATCCAGGTATGAGGCGTACACTGAAGAATGCCAGGATTATACCAAAGACAAGTGGAACAGGAACACTGAGTGCAGCTTTCCCATCACTCACATTGATGCAGAAGAGGTTGACAATGTCATTGTAATCCACGTTAATGGGTCCAGCAAGTATGCTGCAATCAAGCCTTTTCAGCAGTTATTTAACCAAAATGCCATTGGTGAGTAGAAATGCATTGGAAATGGAAAAGTAAAAATATCTAGGAGGATTGTCAGAAGATTTGTGGGAGAATATTACTGGACTGAATGTTTTTTGATGTAGGTCAAAGGATGTGCTGGGTTTGCATAGATTTAATGACACTGGAAGAGATTATAAGGCAGAAATGGATGGTTTTAACTAACTTGGATTTGAATATTATAAAATGGCAAAAATAAAAGGCTAGAAAACACAATTAGCTGTTCTGTTTGCTAGCAAGGCATTATTTTCAATATTCATTTTTCAATTGGTTTAGTCAATATACCTTCAAATGCAGTTTTTTGCTGCCTTTTATTTTAAAGCCTTTCTTTAAAAGGAAAAGACACATGATGTTCAAAGATAATTATTTCCTTTCAAATAAAGGCATCAGGCTGTTGAATAAAAGGTAGTATCAGCCAGGACTGTCTATCATCTTTCATCTATCCAAATAATTTATTTTCCTTCATTAGTTCCTGCCTTTCATTTTTTTTATAAACAGATAACATTTCTCTTTTTCATGGCTTCACTAAGATAAAACAGTTGACATAAATTCTTCTTAGAAATCCTCATAACAGCTGCTGATCCATGCAGTTAAGTTTTTTTCCAGTTTTCAGGAACTTTCCTGGCTACATGTGTTTTTTTCCCCAAAAAAAGAAGTTTTTCTAACAGTTCTATCATTAATTTCATGCCTTTGTGAAAATTAATGTAATAGTTCTGCCTCCCCCAGCCCCATAATCTATTTTTTCAAACTTTGAAGTGGTTTTAAAAACTGTTTCCCTTAACTATTTTCTGCAATATAGTTATTCCTCCTAAATCCTTATCTTTTCTGTCCAAAATGTGAAATAAATTCAAGGATTATAGGTTCTACTTGGAAACACTATCAGGTTATAAAATGCTCCAATTGTCAGTATTGAAACATTGCTCTATAAATAACTTACCAGTGCAGTTTTCTTTTTTTATTTGTAGAGAAAGTGAATGTTCCCAGAAATGTCACTGTATTCTTAGAGCAAAATGATCTCCTGGCCACATGGGAGAAGCCAATTTCTCCTTTCCCTAAAGAGTGTTTTGAATATGAATTTTACCTCTTCAACATGAAGTCAGGGAACAAGCAGGTAATTGCTTCTCTGTTGCCCAAATATTACACAACATTCCTGTCTCTGAGCTGAGTCTCCTACATAGCTGCAATTTGCCTTTATGCAACCTAGTGAAAAAGTCTTTCTGTTCCTGGCCATACTACAAATTTTACAACATTTAAAATAAAATCTGCTATTAGTACATTTTTGAAGCTATGAAGCTATTTTGGTGAAGCTTGTGTCCCATTTCTGGGGACTTTTTCTGGACATCATGTGTGGATTTTAAAACATTTAAAATAAAACTTGCTATTAGTACATTTTTGAAGCTATGGGCTTTTGGTGAAGCTTGTGTCCCATTTGTGGGGACTTTTTCTGGACATCATGTGT